TTGGTGCGAGGTAGTGGTCCAGCTTCATCCTCAGTGTGTAGAGGTCCAGGTCTCCCTGCACCATTTGTTGAAAAGACTGTTCTTTCCCCCATTGGAAATGAGCTTGACCTTCTTATTGCAATGAATTGACCAGAACCAAAGGGTACCACAGGGTTTTAAGAGGAGGGTGAAATCGTCACATTTGTGCTGTAGAAAGTTCTGTTTGGCACAGAGACTGGGAAAGGCTGGGAGGAGGAGGGGTTGGAGGGAGTCTCTGATGAGTGGGCTTGAAGGGTGCTGCACGCCCTGGGGAGAAGAGCAATCCTTAGCCCAGGCAGGTGGTGAGGAGCCAGGTGCAGGGCAGAGTGCTGAGCCAAGGCCAGGCCAGCCAGAGTATGGGGAGTGGGGATGGGGTGGGTGGGGGGAGAGAGAAAAGCCTATCCTCTCAGCCCTTCAAGGTCCACAAAGTGGTAAAATAAAACCCACCATAACCATTTGCAAAGTAGGTTTTCAGATAATGAGAGGATTGTAAAGGCAAAACAAGGCCAATTACAGTGGCATTATCCTGGATTATAAAGCTTCTGAGAGGCAGGCCACACTTTCAGGCATGCCGTGCCTGGGACTTTCCAGGGGAGGCTTGGGGTCAGGATGTCCAGACCTCACAGCAGGACTCTCCAACCTCTACTGACCTGCCTCAATTTTCCCAAGGAGAGAGACCACAGGGAGGCAGGAGGACCCCCACCCCCATCCCAACACACACACCCACACAATTTTGAGAAATTGGATGTGAGTAGTGTGAGGCTGACAAGCCATCTTGAAAGGAAATTTGTGCTTCCATGAGCTTCCCAGTCTTGGCGTCATCCCATGCCTCCCCTCCATGGCCTTTTGTGCCTGCCCACCACTTTACCCCCTACCCCCTCTGGGCTGTGTGACCTTTAGCCCGGTAGCTAGCGCCTCAGGATTAAATGAGATATTCTAGATAAAGCCTGGAGGAATAGAAGCCAGTACAACCTCAGTGCCTCACGATTTGGCAGCGTCTGTTAAAACAGTGAGTTTCCACACCCTGGACCCCAGGAATCCCTTTTAGTCATTTCCTGCAGAGAAAGTTTTGCAGATGTGTCCAAGGAGGCATTTACCAGGATGTTCCCTACAGCACCTTATGTGAGGCTGAAAAATCATAAACAACTGAAAAGGCCTTCGATGGGGGCCTGATTAAATTAGGGCCCATCCGTTCCACAGAATCCTTCCCTGTAATTAGAGTCTGGCGGCTCCAATGTGCTGTCTCAGGCAGATCCCACCACGTGGGGCCGCGTGCACAAAGAGAGTGCAAACAACACCTACAGACTGGTTCCATTTGAGCTGTTCAGAAGCCCACACAAACACCGTGTATTTTCTATGTTCGCATATATGTACACAGATGCAATGAAAACAGCAGTGAAGAAAACACTCCCAGATGACCCAGCTGGTTACCTCTGGGGAGGGAATTGGGACGGAGGCTGAGAGGTGGCAGGTGCATTACAGGGAATTTTATTTTGCTGGAGTTTTAATGTTTTACCACAACATATGCCTCTGTCACCTGCATGTGTCACCTGCATATCACACACACACACAAAAAAAAACCCATGCTAACACCAAGTACAGAGAGGATGGCTTGACCCACGCTCAGTCAAGGCTCAGAGGCCATAATCATGATCAAAGGTCAAGGAAAAAAGGTGTCTTCCAGCCTCATGCTCCTGGACTCAACTTTTGAAGTCTGTATTCAGGGTTGGGGAAGCCCCTCAGGTGGGCACATGCCATTCCCCGACATTCTGAAGGGACAGAGAGAAAGCCACTCAGCCTGGCTCGGCTGAGGCAACCGCCCACCTCTCCTGGATGAGCTGTCTGCCAAGAAAACTATTGAACTACATAAAAATCCATCCCTGAAATCCCAGAGGCATCCTTCGAATGGAGCGTGGCCTTTAAATTAGAATGTGTTTAAAAAAAAAAAAAAAAAAGGAGCAGGTTTTGTCTGCAACTAGATTTCAGGTTTGTGAGGGCTGGGGCCAAAGAGCCCTGGCTACCCCAGCCCAGGCCCCACACTCACATCTTGCAATGTGAAGGGAACCCCTTGTGTTCCTATGGAAACTGCTGCCAGAATCCTCTGGAAAGTTTTGCTGAGGAGGGGCCTCCACTTCCCATACCCTCTTCAGGCTCCTGGGCTTGCTTTTCCCAGATGATTTTCTCAAGCAAGTGCTAGGAGGAGCAGGAACTCAGAAGGAGCAATTTCTGGCCATTTATGACTGAGGCCGCCCTCGCCCTTGGGAGGCAGGAGGAGGGGCTGGAGGGAGTCAGAAGCTGAAACCATATCAGATGCCTTGAGGCTCTGAGGAGGGTGGTGCTGGAAAGACCTAGGAGGGCAGAGCCAGGAGAGAGGAGTGTGCCCTAGGAGGGCAGGGCCAGAGCAGGCTAGCCTGGCAGAGGGAAGCCCTGCTGAGACCTCCTGCCCTGGGGCTTGGGGGCCGGGTCCTGCAGGGGCTGTAGGGCTGGTGTTTCCATCTGCCCTTCCTTGAAAGTCCAAGGCTCCCTCCCTGTCCCTTCCAGGCCAACACCTGCCCACCTGCTGCCTGAGCTTGCTGCTTCCCAGGCACTCCTTGTGGGGTCCCCACCTCCCCAGGAGGCCCTTCCTCCCTCAGCAGACACCCTTCTCACTGCCTGCACAGCCTGTTTCTCCTGAGGGATGAATCTCAGAGGAAACACACACCCGCTGAGCCTCTGTGTAAGCCAGGGAGTCCCCATCTGTCCTCTCTGAGAGACTCTGAGTGGTCTTGATTGTCACTGGAAACCAAGGCTCAGGGGAGCAGTGACTGGGAGGTGAAGCTGCAGTTCCTTCCCTCTCTCCCCACTGGTGTAGAGCCTTTAAGAGCTCACCTTCATGGCACCCCGTCCCCTCTCTGTGCCTCCTCCTCTCCCCTGCCCCCTGCACCCCTACCCTGAATTTATCTGCCATGCCTTATCCTGTGCCAGCTCATCTCTGCAGGGCTGGGGAACAGGTACTCAGTCTTCTTTGCTGCCCACTGAGAGTCCCAGACATTCTTCCTCCACCCTCCCTGCGTTCAGACCTCTTAGGGTCCCACCTTCCACCCTGTACCCTCTTCCTCCCCCCTGATAAAGACCTCAGCACCCAGTAGATTCCCAGCCCTGCTCTGAACCTGGCTTGGCTACCACTCTGGCAATGTCTGTGTCTACCAGAGGAGTGATGGGTTAGGGCCAAGGGTCTCATAGGCCACAGGGAGGAACTGCAACTTTATTCCAAGTGTGATGGGAACCATGCAAAGTGTTAAGAGGAGGAGGGAAAAGATTGGGCATGAGTCTTGTCAGGATCCCTCAGCTGCTTTACAGAGATGAAAGGACAGGTCCTAGGCCAGGGCACAGTGGTGATGTCCCACCAGGTTCCCTTATCACCCCTGGAAAAGGCTGATCCCCAGCAGAGGGTCTAAGGTCCGGGGGCTGAGGACAGAGAGGCCCAGGAGGTGGGAGGCAGGCCTGGTGAGGTGGCCCCTCTCGGTCTTATTGGCTTCGATTTCCTGAAGGAGGCTGGCTACATTATGCCCCCTTACCCCGACCTTTGTCCCCACCTAAGCCTGCTAGAGTCAGGAGCCTAGGAGGCAGTTGTGTACTGGGCAACATCACCGCCTGAGCAGGCATGGAGTTCATTAAAACCAGCCTCCTGGGGAGCTAGGGCCTCCCACCCAGCCTGCTAATCCCACTAAGAGCCCTCCTTGCTGTGCACTTGAAGGCTGGGGCCCAGAATCAAGCTGGAAGGCCACTGGCTATCCTATGAAGCCAGGGAAGCCCGGTGCCACTCTAACAGAGGGTGCAGAAGACTTCTTCAGAGGTCACTTTGTGCCCAGCACCCAGCCTTTCTGTGCCAATGTGGCTTGGGGGCTGGAGTCAAGGCCTGCCAGGGTCATGTGCCCTCCATGGGCATATCTGGAGCTCAGGGCAGCCCAGGAGGTGGGGAGGGAGGATCAACCTGTCCATTTCACAAATGAGCCAACAGTGGGAAGGGCCAGAGCAGGAGGCAGGAGAGAGGAGAGAGGGAGCAGAGCTTGAGAGTTGTACCACGTCTGCCTGGGGATGGGTCTCTGATCACACTGCAGGGCCACTGTGAGGGAGAATGAGGGCGAGTGGGTGCTGGATGCATCAGAAACCACTCAGAGTGGTGCTGAGGAACCACCATCCCCAGGGGCCCACGAGGGGGATCCTGCCCTCTGCCCATGGATGCCAAGCCACACAACTAGACCACCACCGAGGGAGAGGGAGGTGGCCTCAGGAGGTGGGGCTCAGTCTACAGGGCACTAGGATAGGGGCCTAAGGCAGATAGAGACAGAGAAGGACTGGAGAGGCCTCAGGTGGTAGGGTTGGGATAGGACAGATGAGGGGACTTTGGAAGGGGGCTGGGCCTTGGACTGGAGGAGGGGCAGTGAGGCCACCTAGGGAAGGCCCAGGGAGCAAAGTGGCAGGAGTGGGAGTACAGAGCCCAGGGCCCACACCTCCTCCCCATCCCTCTGCCCTGCCCCAACATGCTGGGGTCTGCCTCCTCACGGCATGCACCCGGCCCCTGCAGGTGCCCAGCCTGCCAACCACCATCAGCTGTGTCCTTCACATCCAGATTTGTCCCTAAGCCTAGCCGCACCTCTGGTAGGTTTATCTTCCTTGCCCACACACATGCCTCCCACACCAGCCCCTTGTTCCCTGCTGGTGGCTGGGTGGTTGTCCTCCACTCTCTACTTCACCAGATAAGGCCCTTCCTGGCACAGGCTGGTGCTAAGGGAGCCACCTGCACCCTTCTGCCAGGTGCAAGGGGACGAGGAAGGCTCCAGGAATAGGGGACATCCAGTCTAGCCCTCAGAGACTGAGTAGCACTTGACTGGCTGGTCAGGGGAGGAAGAGCCCTCCTAGTAGATGGAACAGCCTGGGCAAAGGCCAAAGATGCATGAAACACTCCATGGCTGGGGCTGGAGACGCAGGGCGAAGGGTGGGGGAGGTGTGGCTGGCCAAGGGCCCTGAGTGGGGCCGGAAGGGCCTTAGATGTGAGGGTGAGGTGATGGGGTGCTACTGGGAGCCTACTCCTGGGTCAGGGCAAGTCTTTGGAGGGAGGGGCTGCCCTGGGCCTCTGATCCATGGGCAGTGGGGCTCATCTAGAGGTTTTCATAGACTAGGTTGAGTTCACTGTTGTCCTCAGATCTCTGCAGATTCTCCTGGACCAAAAAAAGAGAGAGAGAGACAGACAGAAGACAGAGACAGAGAAGAGACAGAGAGAGTGATAGAGAAAGAGGGAGGAATGAGAGAGAGAAAAGAGAGGGGAAGAGAGAGCGAGGAGATAGAGGAGAGGCAGAGAGAGACGGAAAAGAACATTAGGTGGGGAAATAATGAGCTTGCATTAGTTTGGTTCTAGTCAGAGGCAACAGATCTGCCTCCTGTAAGGTTTGGGGGGATGTTGCCCTGTCCTGCAGCCTCTTCTCCCACCATGACACCCCCGTCCCTGCTGTCTGCCCTCTAGCCACACGGCCCCCCCTTTCCAGCCTCAGAACCTCCCCCCCCACTCTTCCTTCTGTCTGGGATGCCCCCCCTTTCCCTGACAGCCTCCTACTCACTGGGTCTGGGGGGTTCATCTTAGAGTCCCAGAAATTGCCCCTTAGGCCTGGACAAGACCCTCCTCAGAACCTGCCCCTCACAAGGGGGCTACAAATGCCTCTGTGTGTCCATGGTGTCAGTGACCCTGGTCTGTATTCTGAGGCTCCCAGAGGGCAGGAACATGCTAGTTCTCTTGTCTAGCTCCCCAGGGTCTGGCATGGGGCTGGAACTGCCTGAGAGGGCCCAGATGTCCTCAGGGCTCCCAGCATGGGGAGGTCTATCTCAGGACTGCGTATAGAAGGGACTTTGAGAGCAGGAGATTCCACAAACAGTGCCAGCCTGGGCCAGAGAGGGCCAAGTGCCAGCCCCTGCACTCCCTGATGGTTCCTCCAAGGTGCCCACGATCTCCTGGAAAGGCTGCACAACACCTTGAACTTCATAGTGTTCAAAGCTCTGGTGCAACTGATGCGATTCGCTCTGGGAGTAATTTGAATTCAGGGGTAATTGGTACTGCGGGAAAACATTGCTTATCCACTTTACAGATGAGCAAATGGAGGTTTAGGAGAGAATGTGTGACTAAGTAATATGCCTGAGGTCCTACCATGACAATAACAGAGCCCTCCCCAGGCCAGCGAGCTGACATCAGCTCACACTTGAACTCCTGACTTTAGCCAACCCCAGCTGGGGCATCTAGATGCCTAAACACCCGCCATTGGAGACAAGTGCCCATGGTAGTTACAGTTGCTCCTACTGCTTGGACAACTATGGGGTCCTGAGTGGCCCTCTCAGCACAACCTTCTATCTGATGGGTGCTGTTAGACTCCTCAGTTTATAGACAAGGCGACTCAGACACAGAGAAGTCAGGCACTTTGGCTGGGGCTGCACTGCTGCTAAAGGATAGAGCAGGAATTCAAACCTAAGGAGAGGGCTGAGATTCAGATGACAAGAGAGTAGGAAGTTATGAGAAGCCAAGATTGGTGTCCCCAAGCCCAGGGCTTGTATCCCAGCCCCTGCATACCTGGGTGAGAAGGCCCTGGGTGGTGGGCAGGCTGCCATCCTCACTCTCCAGGCAGGCGTAGACCTCGGTCTCTCGGCGTTGCAGGGCCTGCAAGAAACAGGGGGCCAGGTCAGAGGCAAGTATTCTGGGGGCAGTCCCCAGACTCCTTGGCTGGCATCCCAGCCAGCCTGTCACACACTCCAGAGCCCAGGGGAGAATGGAGCCCTGGAGGGCAAAGCCAGGCCATACCTTTGCACCTGCAGCTCCTTCCTCAGCTACTTCACCCCTATCCCTGCCTATATAGGGCTCTCAAGAAGAAGGGTCTAGGCATAGTCCTTCTGCCCCTGCCTACAGGGATGCTGGTAGCCAGCAACCCTTACATGACACTTGTGATCATTACTTCAATAGGACGCCCTCTCGACATCTGCCCTCACTCCTCTGGCTCAAAACTCCTGTCCCTGTAAGGGTCCCACTCTCCCACCCTCATCCTCTAGGTTTCCCCTGATCCCCACCCCAGCCTTTGCTCACAGATGACTTAGGTACCCCCTGGGGTCACACTCCTTGCCCATTAAGCCTGTGACCTGCTGGGGGATTCTGGAACCCAGCCCTGGCTCTCTGCATACCGTCTTCCCCTCCCCCTATAGATCATTTTCCTTTCATCTTCCTCAGCGCTACCCCTCTGGGCCACCTCCGTGTTCTTGTCATTCCCCAAACGCTCCTGGAGGTCCCGTGTTCCCATCTCCCACTCTCTGACCATAGCCCCAGCACTGTTCAAATTCCATCCTGAGGCAGCTGAGGGAGTGAGACTTAGCCTCCTTGGGCTTATATGTGCCAGATAATCCATCTGAGCCCACAAGATACTCCTGAGCCCTCTGTCACGGGAGATGAAATATGCTTCACTGAAACCCTGGCCTCTGCGGCTCCCTGCATTGGGACAGGTCAGAGTCCTGCTCCCCAGCAGCCCCCTCAAGACTAGAAGCCCCTTGAGGGCAGAGATGGTGCCTGGTTTTTCTCTGATTTCTGGCCCTACAGCTGAGCTTGGCATGAAGGGAGAGGTACCAGATGGGCTATGGTGAGGGGCTCCTCACCCACTTGCCTGTGTCCTCGGGCCACACTCATACTAGGCCCAGCTACAAGAGGCCTGACCAGAGGACCTGAAGATGCTAGAAAGAACCATACTTTGAAGTCAGACAAGACTAGGTTCAACTTGTGGTTCTGACACCTGTCAGCAGCAGGCAACCCCCTAAAAACAAATGAAAACAAACAAATAACAAAAAAGAAAAAAAAAACTCTGTGCCTCAGTTTACCCATCTGTAAAATGGAAATAATTATATCTATCTTAGAGGCTCTATGAATGATTAAATGAGATATTGTGCATAAAAGGCCCTGCACACCATCAGGCAAATAATGGGTGCTTAATAAGCAGCTGTTAAATGATCATCAAGGAGGGGTAATGTTTGCTTCCCCTACTCACGCTGTGGTCATAGCCTGGACCTCCTCAGAACTTGCTGGGCTCCAGATCACAGCCCACCAGCAGCCTAAGCAAGAGGCAGAAGCCTTTCCTTCCCGTGTACAAGTGTACGTGTCATATGGATGCCGGCTGGTTGCCAAGGAGGCGGTTTCCCTGGCAACAGGCAAGCAGGGGTTGCTGAGGCAGGCTGGAGAGACAGGTGGTGCTCAGAGACAGGAGGAGGGCGGAGAGATGGGAGGGAAGGAGGAAGAGAGGCGCCAAAAGGCAGCTGGGCATGAAAATCCATGTAATAAACCATTTGGCGCTTGGGAGACCCTCACTTCAAGGTCATCAGCCATGGGGATGATGTAGTGGCCCTGGGGACAAGTTCAAGGGGTCTCTGAGCTAGAAACAGGCTAGGTCTTGGGAAAAGGGCTTCCACTCCTTTCCAGTAGGAAAGGGAGCAGGGTCACCCCAAAGAGAAGCCCTATATCCAGTGGAAGGAAACTTCCAAGGCCTGCTCTGGCCTGTGAGTCTTTATGCCTTGAGTATCAGCTGCCCCAGCAAGCCTGTCACAGGAGATGGGGTATGCTCCTGAGAAGCCCTGTGTGTCCCACTTTCTGTCCTCCCAGGCTTGCACCCCTCCAAGTTCAGACAGATCTGAGAGCCTCTCCAAGCTGGACATTTCTGGTCTCAGAGAGAAGGGAGGGAAATGGCCTCTTTGTATGCATCTAGGCAGGAGAGCAGATCTGAGATCCCATAGCGGTTCCTTCTCCTTCCTACTCAGCTCAGATGGGTGATCTGGCACACATAAGCCCAGGGAGGCCAAGGGTGTCAGATCCAGGGAAGGAGAGTGCCCTAGGACCCTCTAACCCACAGCAGGCTAGAGGGGCAGCCAGACAGCAGGCAGCGCAGGGGCAGCTGCTTGGCTGAGGGCAGGGCTGCTGTGGAGGTGGCCACCAATTAGCAGCTGCTGAGTGAAGCCTTTGACAAGTCGTGACCTGCTGGGCTGCATTTGTATTCAGGGTGTGACCCAGTCACCAGGCTGTGAAATGCAGTGTGAAGCCTTGTCAACAGGACACCCTCAGAGCCTCTGAACCAGCTCCTCTTGTCCTTTCTTGGTGACAAAGGGGACAGCTTCCCTCAGGTGCCTGCTGGGGAAAAACTGACCACATAGGCATCTGGATGAGCCACCTGTAGGGTTGGGCTGGGCTGGGTGACATGGGGATTATACTGGGACTGGGGCCAGGGCCAGGGCCAGGGCTGTGTCACTATGGTTAATTGTCTGGGACACAGGCCCTCTAGGCCCTCTGCTTATTGCTGCACCATGGTCAGTGATGCTGGCCTGAAAGGTCATTAACCTGGCAGAGGTGTGAAGTTAATGCCAAGGCCTTCCTTTGAGAAGGCAGAGGCCAGAGCTGAAGTTGGCTGCCTTGGGCTTGAACCTGATCTGACGGTCCTGGGCACTGGGGTGATGGGTGAGATCTGGGTTGATTTGTTCAGAAATGAGCTCTTAGTGGAGAAGGAGCACTCCAGTTCCAGCCCGAGCACTGGCAGTGGGGACCCTCTGAAGGCTTTTCTGAGTCGTGTGTTACAAATGTCTCTTGGGCTACAGGGGACTGATTGGGAGGAACCCTAGGCTGAGTATGAGGACACCCGCTGGGCCAGGTACAATCACAATGCTGATACCCCAGATTTGCCATGGGGTGTCTCTTCTGTCCCCTCTGCCCCATATTGGGTCCTATGGAACCCCAGACACCTTGGAAGGCAAGACACCTCTGCCCATCTATATAGCGGTCGACCATTGAGCACCTACTATATGCTGGGCACTGGGCTGGTGTGAGGTGGGAAGGAGGCTGGAGACTGACAAGAAGCCCATAAGGCTGCCAGGAGGGCACTAGAACAACATCAAAGGAAGACACAGAGGCTGGGTTGCAAGGTGGAGTGGAGAGGCTGCAATTCTAAAAGGGAAGTGAGGAAAGGTCCCATCTGAGCAGAGGGCTGAGGGAGCTGCCAGCATGCAGGCCCCGTGGGGCATGCCTGGTGTGCTTCTGTGCAGACAGAGCATGTGAGGATGCTGGCTTTGACCCTGAATGAGATGGCTTTGACCTCCTGTAGGACCATGATGGCCACAAGAATTACTTCTCAGACTCTGCTTCCAGGGATCGGAATCCATCAAGGGATAGGACTGACCCACCATTGGGCTCTGAACACCATCTCTACATTTGTACGGAGACCACTTGCCTCTGCCCTGGTGCTCCAGACAGCCCCACTATGTGTGACTCACGTCACTGAGTGCCAGTCTAGGGTGCATGTCCTTGGCCTTCCTTCCTACAGGATCAGGCCTGTGTGCAGCAGGACTGCCCTCCTCGTCTTCCCCAGCCCCTCCCCATCTTCTCTCACAGAGGATTTCTAATAAACTTACTGCTCATTTAATCCCATCTTGTCTGCTTCTTGGAGGACCCAGGGATGACCAAGAGCTCTGAGCAGAGGGCATGATTTGTTGATGGTTTAATAGGATCCCCATGGCTGCTGCCAGGTGGCAAACAGACCATAGGGGCAAGGATGAAAATAGGCCAGCTGCCTAGGGACTGGCTGAAGGACCCCAGGCATGACATGCGAGTTGCTCCCACCAGCATTAGCACCAGGCAGTGAAGACAGTTGGATTCTGGATATGTTCCGTAGCAAATCAGAGATGGGCAGTGATTGAAGGCAAGAAGGAAAGGACAACACCAATGTTTTCAGCCTGAGTAGCTGGGAGGATGGGGGGTGACTGTGGGAGGAGGCACCTAGGTGGGCAAAGAATTGGGTTTGGTTTGAGAGTGATGCCACTTAGACACCCCAGCAGAGTTGATGCTGGTGCTTAGAGCACCTGTCTAGGCTAGAGATATAAAACTGGGAGGAATCAGGATATACATGGTCTTCAGAACCTTGAGGCTGAACGATATCACCCAGGGAGGGATGTGGAGATAAAACAGCAGAGGTCCCAGGCTCTAGTGCCTCTTCCAATGTGAAGAGGTGGGGGATACGCTGGTCCCTAGGAGGAATGAGTGAGGGGACTGAGGTGGCAACGAGTCAAGGAAGATCAGGCGAGTGGACTGTTTCAGAAGCAAGTGAAGAACGTGTGTCAGGAGGAGGGAGAACTCAGTGGTGTCAGCTGCTGCTGCTGATTTGTCGGGAAGATAAGGGCAAAGAACTGCCCATGGGTTTAACAAGGTGGCATAAATGTGACCTAGAGAAGGAAAGCCCTGCTGGAGAGCAAGGCTGCAAGCCTAACAGAGAAGGTCAGAGAGGAGAGGGAAAGAGGAACTGAAGGTGAAAATTTTGACAAGTCTGGAGTTCTATTTCAAAGAGTTGTGGAGAAAGGGCAAGGAGCTGGAGGTGGCTGGCGGTACAAGGAGAGGAATTTAAGATGGAAGGAATCACAGCATGTTTGTGAATGCAATATTGTCTTGTTAGCCCCATTTTGCAGATTATGGAACCAAGACTCAGAAAGTAGCAGAACCAGTGAGCAAAAGAACCAGGAGGCTTTGATCACTAATTTGTGTGACCCACCCCAAATCCGTGCTCTTAATAGGTCAAAGTTCTAACAATAAATTGAAATAGTGTATCTTTTTTCATGTCATAATAGATCATGAACACTTTCCCACATGAATAAAGAGGAAGAATTAACATAATTAAAAGGAGAAATAGACAAATAGATAGTCATAATGGTAGATGTTAACTTCTTTTAACAACTGATAAAATAGACCACAATAAATCAGTAAGGATCAAAAAAGCATATGGAATGTTTTAACAATACGATCAACAAACTTCGACTAATTGACATATATAGAACACTCATTCAACCAGATACCATAAAAGTTCTTTCCAAGTGCACACGGAATAGAACCTGAGCCATAAACCAAGTCTCAAAAGATTTAAAAGGATTAATATCATTCAGAATATATTTTCTGATCACAGTGGAATTAGCTAGAAATAAAAAACAAGACATAATCAGAAGATAATCAAACATTAAGCAAAATAGATTCATTCAAACAACCAATAGGAGAAATTCTCAATGGAGATTTTAAACTGAAAGATAATGAAAATATGACATATCAAAACTTGTGGGCTGGCTCAGCACCTGGAGCTCAGCGGCTAGGGTGCCAGCCAGATACACCAGAGCTGGCAGGTTGGAACCCAGCCTGGGCCTGCCAAACAATGACAACTACAACCAAAAAATAGCCGGGCATTGTGGCAGGTGCCTGTAGTCTCAGCTACTTGGGAGGCTGAGACAAGAGAATCTCTTAAGTCTAAGAGTTTGAGGTTGCTGTGAGCTGTGATGCCACAGCTCTCTACTGAGGGTGACATAGTGAGACTCTGACTCAGAAACAAAACAAACGGCTTGGTGCCTGTGGCTCAAGTGGCTAAGGTGTCAGCCACATACACCTAAGGTGGCGGGTTCGAATCCAGCCCGGCTCACCAAACAACAATGACAGCTGCAACTGCCAAAAAAAAATAGCCAGGTGTTGTGGCGGGCGCCTGTGGTCCCAGCTACTTGGGAGGCGGAGGCAGGAGACTTGCTTGAGCCCAGGAGTTGGAGGTTGCTGTGAGCTGTGCCACGGCACTCTACCCAGGGGGACAGCTTGAGGATCTGTCTCAAAAAAAAAACCAAACAAACAACAACAACAAAAAACACTCATGGGATGCAGCTAAAGTAATACTTAAAGGGAAGTTTATAGCCTTAAATGCACAAATTAGAAAAGAAGAAAGATTAGAAACTAAGTGTCCATCCAAGAACATATAAAATCTTTCCTGGAGGTTGGGAACAAGACAAGAATGTCTTCTGTCCCCACTCCTATTGTCCATCATATTGGAGGTCAGCAGTAAGACAAAACAGAAAAAAAAAAAAAAAAGAAGTGGAAGGTGTGAGCATAGGAAAAGAAGAAATAAAAATTCCATTATTTATAGATGACATGACTGGGTTCATAGAAAATTCAAAGGCATTAACAGTGACACTATCAGAATGAGTGAATTCAGCAAGGTCATGCTACATAAAGCCAATATATGAAAATCGATCATACCAGCAATAGAAATTTAGAAAATAAAATAAAAACAGGGACAACACCTTATAAAGAGGATCCGATGATAGTGGGTGTAAAGTCCTATCACAGTGCCTGGCACGTATTAGGTGCTCCACAAATGGTTCTCCACCTATCATTATTGTTAATGGCATTCTTCTCTACCTACGTCTAACCCCACTTGTAGACCCTTGTCTTGGGGCTCAGCAAAGTCCCATGTCCTCCCATCACATCTCCTGTCTGGTTCTCAAGTCTCTCCCAGTTACCTCATAACCCTGCAGGCAGCCGAGTCTCTTTATCATACTCCAGAGAAGTCAGCCTGAGTCTTAGAGGATTCTGAACCCAGATGAGAAGGAAGCTCCATCCAAAAGAGCTCTTCCATTAAAGATAAAGGATGTGGTCCACATGGAAAGACGTCCATGAGATAGTCATGGAAAAAAACAGCTGTCCCACTCCAATTTTTTTCTTTAAAACAAGGACATATGAGTATGTGTGCAGATCCCCTTATGTGTGTGTGTGTATTATATATATATATATTTTTTTTTTTTTTTGAGACAGAGTCTTACTCTGTCACCCTAGGTAGAGTTTCATGGTGCCACCATAGCTCACAGCAACCTCAAACTCTTTAGCTTGAGCAATCCTCTTTTTTTTTTTTTTTTTTTTTTTTTTGTGATGGAGTCTCATTTTGTCACCCTTGGTAGAGTGTCATAGCTCATACAACCTCAAACTCTTGGGCTCAAGTGATCCTCTTGCCTCAACCTCCCAAGTAACTGGGACTACAGGTGCCCATCACAACATCTGGCTACTTTTTCCACGTTTAGTAGAGATGGGAGTCTCATTCTTGCTCAGGATGGTCTTGAACTGCTGAACTCAGGTGATCTACCCATTACAGGATGTTGAGATTATGGGCATGAGCCACTGCACCCGGCTTGAGCAATTCTCTTGCCTCAGCCTCCCAAGTAGCTGGGACTACAGGCATGTGTCATAACACCCAGCTATCCTTGCATGCATTTACAGAAAAAATAAACCAGGTAAGAATAGAAATTAATGTTACTAATATTTGTCCTGGAAGAAGATGGAATTAGGATGCTGGTTATTTTCTTCATATACCACAGGTCTGTGTGTTTGTGTATGTGTGTGTGTGCAGAAACAAAGCAGCAGGGATGGGAGAACAGAGAGAGAGAGATGTCTTCATTGAAGAGCTGATCAGACTTCCTCATAGAGAAAAGCAGAGATGAGACTGGGTGCTGGAAGAGAATAGAGACTGTGGGGATGTCTGGAGTCACGTGTGCCCAGCAGCAGCTGGTGGGAACCCTCTGGGGTGGGGAGGCTGAGACCCTTTGAGAACTGTCATATTCCACTAGGAACTATGGGCGCTGCCTCCCGAGCCATTCCCTTGGTCTCACTGACACCCGCCCACACCATCTTCAGCAGACACAGCCATATTCTGAACCTCTGTGTGGGGTTTTGTAACCTTGGAGGAAGGACCTGAATTTGTGAGTGGGTCCAGGTGGTGGGGACGGAGACAGTAGCGGCAGATACAGGCAGAATCCTAGTGCACCCAGATGTGGAGTAGGAAGCCTAGCCTGGTGGCCCTAGGTCTCATGGGACTGAGAGCCCAGCTAATACTGGTGGCATTTTTAAAACTTTCTCTACAATGAACATATGTCATTTATAGAACTAAAGGAAACATGACTGAAAAAGAGCTGTCCTCGCCCTCCTTAGCCCAGGGACAGGGAGGAGTGGCCACATGCTGGCTGGGTGGGGCGGGCCACGGTGGCTAAGCCTTCTGGCCCCACGCACAGTGGCCACCTTCCAATAATTATGATGACCATTATGGAAAATGCTCAGGATACAACAGGGTGTGGAACAAACAAGGCCCCCAACTCATGTCTCTGCTGTGATTGGAATTGACATAAAATGATGTCTGGGCTACCCTTGGTGTGTTGAGGGCGTGGGATGTGCCTGAACTTTTCCTCTTTTTGTGATTTTTGGTTGCTGTTTCTTGTACAATAAAAAGAGGAAGAAGTTGGGGAGCTGGTCACTGTCAGTGGCCAGATAAAGAATTTTAGTCATTCATCCCCATCTTCTGGCCTCTCTACCTCTGTTCCAGAAGAGAAGGGCTGTGCCAAGGAAGGGAACAGGTGGCCCCTGACCTCTGTATGCTGTCCAGGAGCCCTGCACGTGTAATCTCTTTCCACCTTCATAGAAATCCCACCAGGAAGGAATTGCTGTCCCTATGTTTACAGATGAGGAACCTGAGGCTCAGAGAGGTCACATGGCTGGTGTAAGACTCAACCAGGGTATTAGACCCAGCACCAGGCCTGAGAGAGGAAGGCACCCAGGCCTTGGGACTCACCGTGTAGACGGACTCTGTTGGAGGCTGCTTGGGGCTTCCAGCAGATCCTGGATCTGAGCACTTCTTGGTGGGGTGCCACCCAGGAAGCCGCATCTGTTTTTGCAGGGAGAAAGGAGTTGGGGTGGGGAGGAGCAGCCCCCCCCATCTTCTTCCCCTGACACACCCACCAGGGGAAATCATGGCAGATTGTCAGGAGTCCATACAGAAATTAATCACTCAGCACCTTCCACCCAGCCTCTCCTGGGAAATGCAGCAAATCTCTCCAAGCCCCACATCAAAGCACTCACTTGTGCACCTGGAGGCATTGGAAATGAAAAAGACCCACAGCATTATCCATGGACAGAGTACCTGGCCCAGGAGAGGCCGGAGCTGCAGGGCCTGTGGCCAATACAGCAGGGACCCAGAGACATAGCCGACTGCTATCAGTGGGGCCTGAGCAGGCACCAGCCAGGCCCAGCATCCAGTCCCACTGTGATCTCACTGGCTCTGGCCTCAAGCAAGCTATTTCCCCTGTCTGGGCCTCTATTTCTGCAGCAATAATCATCCTTGGGTGAGATTATCACAGGATCTAAGGAGGGGGTAAGTGGGTAGGTGCTTGGCACTGCAGCGGCACTTGGGAGGCTTTCTGTCAACTGATACACACTCATCCAATACCCATTAGCTAGGCAGCATGAAGGCATTGCCCCTGCCCTCCTGGAGTTCAGGGCCCTAGAGAGAGACAGACGAAGCTATCAAAAGGTTTTACGTTCACTGACCACACCTCTGGCATGTGAGCAGGAGGCGATGCCCACTGGGTAGGAAGTGATAGTGCAGGTGAGATCCTGAGATAAGTTCACCCAGCAAGCAAGGGAAGAGGGGGCTCCAGGCAGAGGGACGAGCTGCGCCGAGGCCTGAAGATGGCAAGGCCTTTTAAGACGGTCAGCATGGCAAAAGAGAGGTGAGCCTGCCTGAGAGGGGTTGGGACGGCCCCACATTTACAGTGACGGGTGGATGGAGGACAACATCTGAGAGCTTCAGAAAGCTCATGCTGGCTGCTATAACGGTGGCTATGGAGGCTGGGCGGGCAGAGGGAGGCGGCCCGGACCTCCCCCCTCATCCCAGCACCACGCTGCCAACAGTGGAGCACCAGCAGCCTCATCTCGGGGCAGGAACTAATTAAAAACCCTGGCTGCCTGCCAATCCCAGCCCATTTACTCTGGGATTAGCTCTGAGAGCCACTTAACTCGCAGGCAGAAGCTGCAGTCATCCAGAGGCAGCACAATGATGGCCCAGAACACAGGTCAGGTCAGGCTCTGAGCACCTGCCCAGCTTTCTCTCATGCAGCCTTCCATGAACCTGCAGCTGAGTCTTCATATCGTCTCTGCCCTGCATGTGAGGGGCATAGGCTCAGAGAGGGAGAGTGACTTGCCAAGCAGTCAGAAAGTGGCAGAGGCAGGATTTGAACCCAGGTCTGTGTTTCACCAAGATACCAACCAGAGCTGGAGTCTCTGCTTTTCTGTTCTGTTAGGACATGTAGGTCTCACAGAAACAGTTAGGGAGGTTGATGTCTGTATAGCACTTAATAGTTTACAGAAGACTCTGGGGCTTGTCCTTTTTTTCATTTAATTCCCATAATGGCCTAGGGAGGTGTGGAACGCCCTTCTAGCAGAGAGGGTACTGAATTTTGTGTAGCTAATAAAGGACTGTGCAGGGATCAAACTCAAAGGCCCTTCCTTGGATCCAGTGCCACCTCTCCTGCATCATTTGCTTCTAGACGGCACCGTCAGAGTCTGTGGCCCCCTCTAGGGCACCTTGATGCCTCCTCTTGTTGAGATACCTGGAGTCCTGCTGCCTCCCCCTTGCCGAGCCAGCCGGCCTGAATGCTGCCAAGCAGAAGGATATGGGCTCCCAGTAGTGGCTCTCCCAGGAGGCTGACCTAGGACAGCTCTTTGGATCTGGACCACTGGGCTAGGAAATATGGTCCCTGGAGCTTCAGTTCGGTAGACAAGCCTTACCAGCTCTCCTACGTGCCAGGGGCCAGGCCTAGGCTGGGCACCGAACACCCTGTGGTGAGTGAGACCAAATCTTGGTCCCGGGGCTCTCTTACTGAGACTGGAGGGGTCACCAGGGAGGTAAGTGTCACTGTGGGATAGTGGGAAGGAGCCTCTAGTCTGTAGGGGGCTGGCACAGACTTCTCAGGCCACCTTGCATTGTTTCCTGAAGATAAGACCCAGGCATTGGGAACAGCGCATGGAATAGCTCAGGGGCAAAAGTGTCCAGATGTGTCAAGGACTGTCAGATGAAAAGGGAAGGAGATGAGCTGGGAGGTGGTGCAGGCAGGACCACAAAAGCCCACGGAGTCCTCACTCCGAAGGCAGCCGGGCTGCCAGGTCAGGAAAGGGGTCAGATTCGAATTTTATAAAAAGGCTCCCTCAGGCCTGGCACGGCAGCTCATGCCCGTAATCCTAGCACTCTTGAAGTCCAAAGCCATTGGATCCCTTGAGCTCAGGAGTTGAAGGCCAGCCTAAGCAAGAGCAAGAACCTGTCTCTGCCGGCCAGGAGCGACAGCTCATGCCTGTAATCCCAGCACTCTCAGAGGCGGAGGCAGATGGATTGCCTGAGCTCATGGGTTTGAGACCAGCCTGAGTAAAAGCGAGACCCCCGTCTCTATAAATAGCTGGGCATTGGGGTGGGTGCCTGTAGTGCCAGCTACTTGAGAGGTGAGGCAAGAGGTTCACTTGAGCCCAAGAGTTTGAGGTTGCTGTGAGCTATGATGCTACAGCACTCTACCAAGGGTTACAAAGTAAGACTCTGTCTCAAAAAAAAAAAAAAAAGACCCTGTCTCTACTAAAAATAGAAAAATTAGCCAGGTGTTGTGGAAGGTGCCTATAGTCCCTGCTACTCAGGAGGCTAAGGCAGGAGGATTGCTTCAGCCCCAGAGTTTGAGGTTGCTATAAGCTAGGCTGACACCATGGCACTCAAGCCTGAGCAACAGAATGAGACTCTGCCTCTAAATAAAATCCCCTAGTACCCAAAAGTAACAAAGACCCTGCAGGACGGGCTGACTGTGCTGCTGTGGTAGTCCCTCCCCGGGGTGCTGCCCACATCCTTGCTGCCCCAGCCCCTTGCTGAGGCAGCCCCCCTACCTCTTCTGTTCTTGCCACCCTCTGGCTCCCAGTGTCCCTGGGGGTGTGAACTTGGTGCCCTTCCTTCCTGGCCTGTTCCGGCCTCAGGGAGGCAGTGCCCTTTCTCCAGACAGCCCAGTGGGGTCTTGGACTCTGCTCCATCCTCACTGTTTTCCAAACTGCCAAGTCTGGATTTGGGTCCAGCCTCTGCCGCTTCTGGGTTAGTAGCATCCAGCTTTGATTCATTTATTCGCTGCCACCGCAGGTTCTCCCAGAGTCCTCTGTGCCTGGAGGGAACCTTTTCCTCCTGCCCCCTACAGGCCATCAGGCAGCATCCACAGGGTCTACATCATGGATTTGGACCCAGTTCTGGGGAGCTCCCTGGGGCTGCTTTAGCCATGCTAACGCCGCCGCAGTTGCTCCTGCCTTCCCAGCTCTCTCCCTTCAAGTCAGGCTTTGCCTTCAGCCCATCCTCCCCCCTGCCCTATACAGGGCGGGGCAGTGGGAAGTCCCTCCTGTGTGTCAGGCACCCACCTGGTGCTCTCCTGCCACCTCACCTGTCAGAGCTATCCTTATCCCCATTCCTGGAAGAGGAAACTGAGCCTCAGAAAGGGTTGGAGCGTGACAAGAGGGCTTGTTTGCCACGCTGTCGCCGCTTAGCCCAGTGCCTGGCACAAACTAGAGGCCTGACAGACATTCTTGGAAGGCTGGGCAGGGAGGTGAGAGGAGGTGGAGGAGGAAGGCAGGAGGTCCTGAGGCTGTCCAGGGGAGAAGCAGCTTGGGACTGTGGCCATAGCCACGGCTCCCAGGCTTGTCCCTTCCCTCACTGCCACTGAGATCCCATTGCTACAATCCCATCTCTATAGGGAGGGCACTGAGGTCACACAGCAAAGGAGGGGCGCGGGCTCCATCCAGGCTGTCCCTCGTGCCTATGGAGGACACTGGTGCAGGTCACTCACGTAAGCCTGAGTGGGGGGGTCCACATGGGATGAGTCCTTCAACATCTGTGCCTGAGGCCCAGTTTCTGTGTCCCTGTCCCCGTTTCCTGTGCCTTGTGGCAGCTCAGTAGATGTTCACTGAGTCGTGAACAAATCAAGACCTACCCTACTTGTTTGTCATCGTCACGGGAAAAGCAGAGGACAGGGAGGAGGAAATATATTGAGGGCAAGAGTGAGGGGGAAGCAGGAAGAGAGCCGGGTTTGCTGAAGGAGGGAGGTGGCCCAGTGTCCAGTGGCCTCCATCCTAACCCTGCGTTCCCAGAGCTCTCCCCTTCTTGGGTCTTCCCTCCTGTTTACCTCGTCCCTGTGGCTGGGCTGGAGGTGGGAACAGGGACCTACTGAGGGCACAGGGCCCTCCTAGTGGTGCCCAGCACCTGTGGCTCACTTCACTCTGCAGCTCGCCCACAGGGCAAGACCAAAGCAGCATGAGTCATGCCAGGGCTACTGCTGTGCCCCGAGGGTGTGGCTCCAGGTCAGGAGAGGAACCAGCATAGAGACTGAGGCCCTTTCCAGACACTGGGTTGCAGAAGGCAGGAATTGGAGTGCCTGAGGCTCCTGGGGTGACAAGAGACCCAACTGACATTCTTCTAGCATCTGGTGCCTTCCCTGGAATAGCAATTACATCTCCAGCCTTAAGACGAGCATAAGAAACCGAGGCCTGGGTTTGAGCCCAAGGCCTGCGATGCAGGGCTCAGATAAGCTCCAACCTTCAGTGTCCCCACCCACTCTCCAGGCCACACTCGCAGGACACCCACCATCAGGCTGCCATGAGAGCAAACAGAAGAGATGTATAAGCCAAGAGCTCCAGCAGACTGCCCCTGCTGACTCCTCCCTGTCCCTTGGCCCCACCTTCAGCCCCTGCCTCCCCACCCTGCTCCAGGCCTGGCACCTCTGTCTGGACCATTGCAGTAGCTGCTTACCAGGTCTCCCTCACCCCACCACAGCCTGCCCCTCTCCCCCACCTCACTTAGAGTAAGAGCCAAAGTCCTTCCTGTGCCATCACCTGGCCTCATCTCCCTCCCTCTCTCCACCTTCTGTGACACGCCAGTCATGTGGGCCCCCTGAAGCTTCTGCCTCAGAGCCCTGCATCTGCCATTCCCTGGCTGGGTGTGATGTCCACCTGCTTCCGGCCTCCTTCATTCTGGGTGCTGTGTGGGGAGACCCTCCATGACCCCCCTTTTTTTTAAGAGATAAGGAGAGCCTCTCCAGAGTAGCTAGGACAACAGTTGTGCACCACCATACTGGGCTAAGTTTTTTACCTTTTGTAGAACGGGGTCTAAGTGCTCTTAGGCCCTGGTGCAGTGAGCCGTGAGGGACACCTGTGTGCAGCTCCTCTGCCCCTGGGGAGGCTTTCCCAAGCTGTAGTGTGTGGGGAGGGGGCCACAATGCTGTGTGTATTCATCCCGTACCTTCTTCCAGAGCAGCAGAGCAGTGACCAGGACACTCAGGGTGGTCAGGAGGCCAGTAAAGGCAAAGAGCAGGGCCTTCCGGGGACTAGATGGGGGCTCTCGATACCCTGTGTCTATGAGGGGCAGGGAGCAGAGGGGTGAGTCACCAGAAGCTGGGGCACATCCCACTCCACCAACCCCCAGACCCCCAAGCCCCTATGTTCTCCTTTACCAGGACCCCATTCACAAGACTCCCCACCACCACTAGACGCCCCAGAGCCCTGCTGTGGGTCCTCATTGCTCCTCCTGCTCTGCTAAGCCTCCTTTTAATGTTTACTGCCATGATTCTCTTTGAGGGCAAGGACCACATTATTTGCTCATTTGGGGCCTCTTCCCCACTGGCCTCGCTGAGGGTCACCTGTGTGACCCTGGGCGAGCCATTTTAGCCCTTGGGCCTCTTCTTTTCCCTGTGTAAATATTGATAACATGAGCAGGTCGGTGGCAGGGCTTGTGCTGGGACTAATAGGGGGCTGCCCTGGGGTAGGTGGGAGCACAGTCCTCCCTCTACTGAGCCCTTGCTCCCCCAACCCCCCATCCATCCATCTGACTGGTAAAACTTCTGGAGTGCCCACCATGTGCCAGGAACTGCCTATTGCCAGATACCAGCCCTTACATGCATGATCTCATCCATCCACAAAAGGCCTGGAAAGGCAGAGAATTGCCACAAAGTTGAGGTCCAAGATTAGAGCTGGGCAGGTAGCAGGACTGGGGCTTCAACCCAGGTCTGTGGGGTTCGAAAGCCTCCAGCCCATTCCCATGGGAATGGCAGAGCCAGGTCAGAGAATCATGGCCTTAATGATGGGCTTATTCTTAAGTTTTGGGGTCATCACTCTTTTAAGTATGTCATAAAAACTAAAAGTCTGTCCCTAGAAAGATGTGTGCAAGCCAAGTGTTTACTTGAGCATCCCTAGCTCTGCAGAAGCCCAGGCAGGGGCTCCCAGGGATGCTCCGTGGTGCTTTGCCAAAACTGAAGCCAAGGCCAGCCACCCTCTGCCTCAGATTTTGCTCCAGCCTCTGCCAGTTAAACCTCTGGGTCCTTTGCAGGGAAAGAGCAACAGAGGAAGCCTCACCTCTGACCAGGATGAAGGTGCCATCACCGCTCACTGTGGAGTGTGGCCAGTGGACAGAGCAGTAGTAGGTGCCAGTGGCTGATGAGTCCTCCAGCGCAGGGGTGACCTCGCACTTCAAGGTGGAGGTCTGGTTCACTGTGCCTGAGCTAGGCGTGCAGCCAGTCTGCTTTTCAGAGCTCCGCTGGCCCTGGAGATCTTCGTGAAAGTAGTTGACCACGAAGTCTTTGAATTCTGGGGTGTATGGGTAGGTGATGATACAGTTGAAGGACACAGCCCTATTGGCCAGGGAGACCACAATGGGAGGGCCAGTGTAGGTCACTGACTGTCCTCCTGCAGGAGAAACAAAGGGAGAAACAGGTCACAGGAGGCTGCCTTGATCCCACCTGCTTGCTGGTGACTGAGACTTGCATCTCCTATGCACTCATCTGTGCAGAGGCGGCTCACACTTCCTATACACTCACCGTGCACAGGGTGGGCTCACGCTTTCTGTACACTCACTGTGCTCAGGGCCGGATCATACTTCTTGTACACTCACTGTGCACAGGGGCAGTTCATACTTCCTATACACTCACTGTGCACAGGGTGGGCTCATACTTTCTGTACACTCACTGTGCACAGGGGCAGTTCACACTTCCTATACACTCACTGTGCTCAGGGCCAGATCATACTTCTTGTACACTCACTGTGCACAGGGGCAGTTCACACTTCCTATACACTCACTGTGCACAGGGTGGGCTCACATTTTCTATACACTCACTGTGCACCGGGGCAGTTCACACTTCCTATACACTCACTGTGCTCAGGGCTGGATCATACTTCTTGTACACTCACTGTGCACAGGGGCAGTTCACACTTCCTATACACTCACTGTGCTCAGGGCCGGATCACACTTCCTCTACACTCACTGTGCTCAGGGCCAGATCACACTTCCTCTACACTCACTGTGCTCAGGGCCGGATCACACTTCTTGTACACTTACTGTGCACAGGGGCAGTTTACACTTCCTATATGCTCACTGTGCACAGGGTGGGCTCACACTTCCTATACACTCACTGTGCTCAGGGCGGGCTCACACTTCCTGTACACTCACTGTGCTCAGGGCTGGCTCACACTTCCTGTACACTCACTGTGCTCAGGGCCAGATCACACTTCTCATACACTCACTGTGCACAGGGCAGACTCATACTTCCTATACACTCACTGTGCTCAGGGCCAGCTCACACTTCCTATACACTCACTGTGCTCAGGGCCAGCTCACACTTCCTGTACACTCACAGTGCTCAGGGGCGGCTCACCCTTCCTGTACCCTGTGTGCAAGGGCAGCTCACATTTCTTGTACACTCACTATGCGCAGGGGCAGCTCACACTCTTTGTACACTCGCTGTGAGCAGGGGCAGTTCACACTTCTCATGTACCCACCATGCACAGACGTTGTGCCAAGCACTTGACACACACAGCTCCACCTCCCCTAATACACCCTGAGGCCTGTTTTACAAAGAAGAAGAGTCTGAGGGTCAGGGAGGTCAAGCCCCTAGCTCCCACACCTTGACAGGTATGGGGCTGAACTACACCCCTGCCCAGGGCTGGGAAACACCAGAACCCGCCCTCCCAACCACTCTGCTTCCCAAGGGCCAGGAGGCTGCCTTGGATGAAAGCTGATGAGGGATGAGAAGGAGGAGGCCAGATAGCAAAATAAAGACACCCGAGCGCTTCCTGGCAGTCAGTGGACAGAGCAGGAGGCAGGCCTGCCCACGGTTCTCTGGTTAAGGGGGAGACAATGTAGGCAGTGGGAGGGACAAAACTTTCCTGGAATCCGAGCTTGGAGGGGATTTGCCAAGCTTTTATGTAGTACAACAAGCAGTGTCTGAGAGCAGTTTTCCAGCACCACAGAGGTGCTCCACATGTGGCCATTTCGGCTGTGACCGTGATGTTCAACCACCATGAAAGAGCAGCTCTTCTTTTTTTTTTTTTTTTTTGAGACAGTCTCACTTTGTCGCCCTCTGTAGAATGATGTTACATCATCGCTCACAGTAACCTCAAACTCCTGGACTTAAGCAATTCTCTTGCCTCAGCCTCCAAAGTAGCTGAGACTACAGGCACCTGTCACAACGCCAGGCTATTTTTTGTTGTAGTTGTCATTGTTATTTACCAGGCCCAGGCCAGGTTCAAACCTAACAGCCCTGGTAAATATGGCCGGCACCCTAACCGCCGAGCTATGGGTGCCGAGCAGACAGAGCAGTTGTGCAGGACCCCTGCTCATTCCCTCTACCCATGAAAGATACCTAGAAAACAGTTGAATCCCCCCAATCATGCAGCAGCAGCCCTGCCTGGCTGGGCCTCTGACCCCTGCAGTAGGCTTCTGGGTCGGGTCAGCCCCCAGACTGGAGCTGCACGAGGCCCCAGCTTCAGTGTTCCTTCCTCTCTAGGCCCTTCCTTCTCCAGCCCCCAAGCACCAGACAGTTCTAAATTGAGGTCGGCAGCAGGCAGCCAAGAACATGCGGGCCGGGTTGTTAATCGGTAGAAGATTGGCGTTTGAATGCTCAGAAGGAGCCGCAAGATTTATTTTGTAGGGGAAAGTGAGGCGCGGGCCTCCTGCCCAGGGTGTGGGCTGGCATGGGGCCAGGCTGGTCTCTGCCCAGATCTCTACAGCTCAGCTCCGAGCCCTAGCCCTAGGAAGGGGTTCCCCAGGGAGGCCAGGCGTTCTGGAAGATGCACAGGGAGGGACAGAGATGGCCCTTCCCACCGGTTCATCCTTGAAGTCCCAGCCACACAGGTGTTTTGAACTTGCTGTGGAGCCACTGAAGAGCCACCTCCTCCCTTGAAGAACTAAAGGCACTCACAGTCCCAGAAAATTGACTGGCACATCTGGCTGCCACAGTGGTCGGCTTTGTTGTGATGGTTGTGACAATAGCCGGTCACTTGAGAATGCCCACTGAGCTGGCACCTTGTCCCCTGTCCAGGGCAACCAACCCTCTGGTGGGTGGAGCAGGCGGGGATTTTAGCCTGTACCGTGTAGCTCTCGACTCTATTGCAGGCTTGTTATTGTTTAGCAATAATAATATATCAGTTTTGTCATAAAACAGGAGCGTTGATTCAGGGCAGAGGTTTATCTGAGATGTGGCAAGCAGGGTATGGGTGCCAAGGTAAGGGTATTACATGACTCGCCCCCCCCCACAAGGGCCCTGGGCCAGAAGGACAAGAGGCAAGAGGAGTGGGATGAAGCAGGAATGACTGAGAGCACTGCTCCCCGCCCAGGACCAGCACAGCATGCGCAGGCTGTTCCCACCAGCCCCGCGGCCCCCTTGACCTCAGCTGCACCTGGCCAGCTCCTATCTAGTGCTTCAGACTTGGCTTGGGAGCCGCTGACCAGCTTTTATCTGCATCCTCCCGTTTGGTTCTCACAAAACAGCTGGGCAAAGGCGCCAGCTGGTGTTTCCCTGTGGGGAGCAGGGTTGGAACCTGACCCAAACCACCAGGATGGCGACTGTGCCAAAGCTGCCCCTCATCCCCGGGGCTTCCTGCTCATCCTCACGGTGTCTCTAGGAGGATAGACACACTGCCAGGGCCACAAAGCCACCTTCCTGTTTGTCCTGCCAGGAAGGCATTTGTCCAATTGTCTTAAAGAATTCTCACCCTTTGAGAGATCCTTCTAGAAGATGATGGAATCTGCTACTACAATTAAGCCGATCTTTAGAGTTCTGGAGAAATCTATAAAAATAGACATCTATTGTTGTGTAATCTTCTGGGATTCGTTATAAGGTCAGCGGGTCAGGGTCATGAAATACATAGTCAGGGCTCAGGTCTGCCACAGGGAGGGGAGGCTTTGGGTTGAGAACCTCAGACCTTTGATGAAACTGCTGCCTCCAAAAAGTAGAGAGGAGGGAGTCTCTGACCAGCTCCATCTAAAACAACAGCCGCCCTGGAGACATCAGCCAGACAGCAGGGAGGGAAGCTCTGCGGCTGCAGCCAGGCCTTTGAGTTCCTGACTGGTAATGGAGCTGATCGGCCCACTGCCCTTGGAGTATCAGCACCCTGGAGCCTGGACACTTGCCTCCAGGAGGCCTCTTTTGGGGTACAGTTGTGGGAGTCCTGACCCAGTTGGCTGCCCACCAGCATCAGCCCCCACTCAGGAAGGCTCAGTGCTATAGATAGGTTCATGGTAACTTCCAAGTCCATGAATTCTTTTCCTCCATCATTTGTTTGTAGCTCCCACAAATATTTAGGGGGTACCAGTTAGGTCACAGGCCCTGGCCCAGGTCTGAAGAGGCCCTCCTGCCCTGGCAGCACCCCTAGTCTAACAGGGAAGACTTGCTGGTATGGAGCAGAGGGAACCTAGGGGGAGGGCTGGTGCCAGGAACCACTGGATCTGTCTGGGAGGAGGGTGGCATGCCGGTGACCTGGAAGCAGGAGCACACAGACAGAAGGGAAAGAAAAGGTACAGAAAAGGTTACCCCGGCTGGGTGTGACAGACCTTAGGTCGGTTAAACACCACCATGATCCCATGAGACAACGTATTGCAATTCATGTTTCTTCTGCAGACAAAGAAACAGAGGGTCTTAGAGGCCCATAGCCACAGAAGTCATGCGTGGTGGGGCCAGGATGTGAACCCCAGTCAGTCCAGCCATATTGAGGAACAGCCAGCACCTGGGCTGAGAAGCAGGCATCAGATACAGCGGGGGTGTTCATGGTGGCACCCGGCACAGTAGCCATCAGATGCTGAAAGCACGTTTGTCAGACCATAGGTGGATGTCATAGATTTTCAGCTAGATGGCTAACGAGTAGCTGCAGGGCTCCAAGATCACATGGAGGCCACAGGGGGCAGAGAGAGTGGGTGAAGAGGGGTCTGCCCTGGGAGTGCCTGCTTCTAAACCCGGGCTTAGAGGGGCTTCAGTGGGAACCTCACAGAGCTTAGGGTGTGTCCCCTGAGTGCCGGCACCGTGGTTGTCATCTCACACCCAGTAACAGCTGCAGCTGCATCACACTTTGTCCCTCGTTCTGGCAAAGTCACTGTGAGATGGGACAGAGTGGGCCAGGGCCAGTAAGCTGGCTGGACACCTCCTGGATTGGCTCGTATAGCTGTCTAATGGGGCAAACGGCCTGGGGAGGGACACTGGGATGGACTCTGGACTTCTGGGGTTGAGAGGGGTGTGAGAGTCACAGGGGTCCAGCTAGCACACCCCAGAGGGGGCCTGGGCAGTCCATGGACATGCCCTGAGGGACTGTACTCCCACACTGCGAACACCCTCACCAGTGCCAGACAAGGCCGGGCTTTTCTGTCCCCACACTGCTCCTCCCTCCCTCCGTGCCTCTACCCAGGCTGGCCAGGGTCA